TATTGAAGTATGATCTTTCACTTAAACCCAAAGCTTCCTGATTCTGCTAGTCTAACCAGCCAGTTAGCTCTGGGGATCCCATCTCTGCCTCCTAAACTCTGGGATTACAGGCTAGCCTCCATATCACTGAACATTTATGTGGGTGCTCTAGATCCAAATTCTGGTCCTCATGCTTGCTCCCACCCCCGCTTATGGTTTTATGCCATTGATGGCTAAAGGAATTTTTTTTTTCACAGACTGGTTTGTATATGTCAAATCTTGTTGCTCCTCACTTCACAAATCCTTTTGATGTTGGGCATCACAGCACTGTCATATGGAGAATATGGCTGATGCAGTGCTCTCTGGAGGTCTGATGAGTTTACACAGTAGCCTGGTGGAAGGGGTATTCCAGGAAGGCTTTCCCATACCAGGACAGCTGGCAGTAACTTAACTGTACATGTAAGTGATGGAAACCACACCAACATGTCTCACTAAATCCAGAATAAATGTTTCTCTAAATCAACTTACATTTGCAAAGTTGCACAAATATATGACTAAACAGACATATTGCTCAGGGCTTTGCTATGAATCTTAGATTGGCTCATGCGAACAGGAGGCCTGGAGCTTAGACAATATTAATTGAGGGAAATTTAGGTAGAACATTGGGAGGAGGATTCCCTTACAGCACTCTGTCATCCTTTTCTCTCTGTGTCAGCTTCACACCTTTCCTTCCGGGAGGGAGTCCGAGTTAGAAAAGAACACATCCCTTGACTTTGCAGTTACCTCTCTTGGCCTTTGTTTCTTCTTTGGTTATAGAGCTAGTAAATGCCCTAGAAAGGGATTGGATCCAGAAGGAGGTAGAGTGGAGGAATTCAGGAAAAGAACTCAGCTTTCTGGCACAAGCAGCAGTAGGTAGCCCTGTCTCCCTTCCTCCACTTCCCCAGGGTTTGTCTGTGTCTTTCAATGGTCAGCTTGGATCAAGGTTCAGAAAGACAAGCTCTCAGAGTTTGAGTGCGATTTGGGGTTTTGAGAGAGGTTTGGGGGTAAGACTGTAACTCACAGAATCATAGTCACCAAACACTCAGAAAATCAACACCTGAGAAAGAAAAATGACCTGGATGGGGGAAGGTTTTGTGAGAAAACCTCCAAGGAACATGACTCCAAGTCATTTTGGTCCCTGCAGATGAGGAGGCATGGGGCCCACTGCCAAACTGGGAAAAGAGTATAACTCCTGCAAACACCTAAGTAGAAAGTGCTAAAGGGCACTTGGTTCTCCAAAGCTGGTCTGTGGATTTTAACTTCGTTTAGGTAGGATTTAAATTTTTTGCTTATTATTTATTGAGATTACTTATTGAATCACCAGCCTCAGTCTCCCTGGGCTGGGACTTGCATCCCAGACCAGAACTGCAGGTCAGGGGTCCATCATTAAAGAGACAGCTTCTGAGACTGCACACATATATTAGGGGCTAGAAGTTCTTTCTTTGGTCTAGTCGGACTCCCTCCTATTGTGAAATTTGTATGGTTTAATGTTACTTGCTTCTCTGCAGACTGAACTCTCATCAGGCTTGGTTTGGCTCCTTCTGGGAGCTGGGTAACGGTAACCACGGTAACCTAGGGTGCGTGGAAAGGTCTCTGGAGGAAAACACGACCCTGGGCCTGGCTCTTGGAGTAGCTGGCAGTTAGGGCCTCCTAGTCCTTTAGAGTTCGAGCCCTGACTTGAATTCAGTCAAAGCCAAAGTGAACAGCAGGGCGTATTCTAGCTGCTCGTCTTTTAGAGCCACGTTCCCACTCCATCGCTGGGCGGGAAAAGCTGGAGGGGAGGGGTTCCTGTTTCTACTGGCCTCCCGAGCTGGGAGGGGCGGGGCCGGTCCAGGGCGGAGCCAGGACCTAGAGCGGGCTCTTGGTTGCTATGGTAACGCGTCACTGTGTAGGGAGCTGGTAGAGGTGCCTGTGGCAGAGGCAGCAGCCGAGATGGTGAGGCTCTGTGTAGTTGTAGCTTCTGAGTCCTGAAGTGGATTGGGACTGAGGGGGTGGAGCGGGGGGTTGGGAGGGCAGAAGTGGGAGAAGCGGGGACTGAGGCGGACAGGAAGTTCTGGGAGTAAGGAGGACTGCTGGAAACGAAGTACAGGAAGTCCTGAGGAGGACTCAAAAGAAGAAATAGCCGTAACTGGCCACCGATAAAGGTTGAATGGGGGGATGTGCCACACCTTCCTCCATCCCTTTGGGCTGGGCGCTCGCGGGTTGCGGGGTGTGGAGAAAAGACACTGGTAAGGCCAGATGATGGACTCTAGTACCTGTTCTGTTAACTAGCAGGGTGATCACGGGTAAGCCACCTAGTGCCCCCGGGCCTCAGCTTTCACTTGTGTTAGGATGGTTTGGGATCACTCTGGGAATACTCAGTTCGTAGCGTTGTGACAAAGTGAATGAATGTGTGTGTGTGTGTGGGGGGGGGGGTCCCAGGTTTGTAAAGTCCTGGAGAATGACTGGGATAAGTCTGACAGTGCTGAGATTTCTTAGCCTGGGGAGGACTTTCATGGTTGTGAAGGTTGACAAGCAATGCCTAGGAGGAGTTGTGAAGCCTGGGCCTGAGTGTGTTGGTTCAGATGGATTAGGGGAGGCTGAGGACAGGTGTTGGAGCCTACTGGAACTTACTGTGGAATGTCTAGCAACTCAGTAGGCAAAGGTGGCTAATTGGGTTGTGTTAATGGATACCAGGCTCAGAGGCTGCCTTGGTTTTTTGGGATTTAGAGGAGTTCAGAATAACTTGGATAATTATGAAATAAGTAAGTCTCCCATAATGAACGTTCCCATCTTTTGAAGACTCCCTGAAGTGTAGCAATGGGGGTCCCTTTTTGCTTATGTATTTTATTTAATTCAGTGTCTCCCCTTCCTGCAGCACAGTAGTGTATGTATGTATGTATGTATGTATGTATGTATGTATGTAGTGAGGGTCTGGCACCATGCCTAGCATCTTAAGGACATGTGGTAGATGACAACTTCCCTTTTGTTCTAGTTTAAAACTGTCCTATTTCAAAGTACCCATGAATCAATCAGTAAGTTGCAACTGGACGTGAGGACTGCATAGGTCCAAGATCAGAGATTACCACCCAAAGGCCACTCAGGACAGGGGTTTGACCAGCTGGGTAAACCAGTATGAAATTCCTTGGATAAACTTGGGCATATTGACACCTTGGAGAAGCAGTGAGCTTGAGCAATCACTGATAGGTCAGAGGTAGGTGTGTAGTGTGTGTGTGTGTGTGTGTGTGTGTGTGTGTGTGTGTGTGTGTATAGTGCTACTTAGAAGCTTTGTTGAGACCAAGGGAGAATGAGAAGAGGTCGGGGGAGACTCACAGGGCATCCAGGACTCCCACAAAGATAATAAGAGCATCCTCTAGAGGGAGAGGCAAGAACCTCAGTATTAACTCTGTTGTCATGTTCAGGTCATATCCCACAGATAGGTAACATGTTTCATTTGAAGAAAGAAAACAGACAGGTGGATCTCTCAGATGTGTGGGTACCCTACCTTCTTAGTGATGAAGACTGAGGAAAGGAAGGTAGACCCAGGCCAAGACTTCAAAGCCTGAATTTGCCAGCCTGTGGTGACTCTTTACGTAAAAGAGGAACTAGATCCCAGAGCAGGAAGGGCATCTAAGAAAGAACATGCCTTTGTCTTTGTTCAGTTGACAGGTGTTACAGTTACGTCAGAGAAACTCCACACCGACCTATTCCAGCTCTGGCCAGCTTTGTCTTCCTTGCGTTTGAACCAAATACCCTAGATCATGACATATATAACTGGGTTGTTTTTAATGGGCTGCACTCTTTTGCCCTCAGAGTCAGGGAACCAGGGCCACTGTTATACTTTGTTTTCAACTAAAAATAGTTTTATTGTTTTTCCTGCTCATAAAATAGTTACCTATTCGTTGCAGAAAATTATTCAATATAAGAAACACCTCAAAGGGGTAATACTCTCCTGAAATTACTGTTAGGTGTTTTTGTAAAGACTCTTTATGTGACCCATTCTAAGTATTCACTCTCCACATGTATGAACATGTTTATGTGGGTGTGTGCACATTTGGAGGCCAGAAGTCGTCTGATGTCATTCTCAAAGACTCTCTATCCCTATAGGGTATCTCATTGAGCCTGGAGTTAGGCTGGTTGGCCAGTGAGCCCCAGGAATCCTCCCTTGTCTTCTCCCCAGTTCAGTGACTACAGATGTGCACTGCTATGCCTGGCTTTTATGTGGGTGCCGGAGATTTGAACTCAGGTCTTTATGCTTATGTAACAAGCTCCTCACCAATTAAGCCATCACCCCAACCCTCCATACAAATGTGTTTACAGGAATATCTATATATTTCTTAAAAATATTTTTTCTTCAAAAACTTTTTTTTTTGTTTGCCAGTTTCATGTATTTATAAAATGAAGTTGAGTCATTTTCACCCTCCATTCCCTTCACATTCCGTTTCCCCTGCTGTTGAAAAAATGTTTTCTTAAGAACTTGATGTGTTATGGTGATCTCCCTATCTGGTCTCCCTATCCATTTGGATTAGTTAATCTTTCTGCTCAGAGTCTCTTGTTCTGGCCAGATTCTTGTGCTCCTTGGATGACCTGGTAAGGTGGCGGGGTGAGGGGGGGCGGTCAGCTGGGTCACCAAGATAAGCATGTTAAAGCAGGGCTTGCATGTTTATCTGTGCCCAGTCAGTCTTTATTTTCCCCAGGCTCCCTTGCCCCATCAGCTGTCAGGAGCTGGCGAAAGCTGCTTTCCCTTCCAGGGCTGTCTCCCCCGAAGCAGGACTAGGCAGGCTTCTGTCTGCCACTGCTCAGCTTCATGGGGATATTTATTTGGTCATGCAAGAAATAAAACCAGCCCTTCACCTCCTAAAAGAGCCTCTTGGCTCCTGCTCTAGTCCACAGGGATCCAACTTTCCATTTCGGCTTGGTTCTTCATTTTTTTTCTAGTGTTTACACAGTGACCTCCCTGGTCCTTCATGTTACTCTTGGCAAAATTGGTTATTCTAACCTTGGGGTAAGGCTTGTGGCTTCAAAGTCAGCAGTTCTCAGATGAGGTTTTCTTAGATACCCAACCCTAGTGCTCAGAGCTTCCCTCTGGTCTGCTCAGTGGCTACTTTTCTGTGGTCATCTGCTTTCCTTCCTCTGTTCTGACTTCTAGGTTCAGGCAGTAGATTATTTCCTGTGGTGACTTCCTCCAGCCTGGGTACTAAGAGCACAGGAAAGAGGAGATATAGTCCCAACCCTGAGGGACCTGCAGTCTTGTGCACAATGCCACACACAATGAGCCCTTGAAAAGAAACAGGAAAACAAATGCAAAACAATAATAATACTTTCCATCTGTACTCCAAAGCCCTTTCAAAGACATGATTATCTACAGTGCAGACTGCATACGTGGTCTGGAAAATGTGGACTGGTGGAGTGACATGGAGTCACACAGATGCAATCCCCAGAGATATTCATGTGAGTCTGGACTCGAGTCCTTGACAGGACATCTTGCTTATTTTCATTCCTTCTTTTGCATCAGCTGCATGCTGGGTTCCTGCTACGTGTCAGGCCTGGCACCTTTTCCTTAATTACGTAAAGAACTCACACAGTCCCTCAGGATCTAAAGCCTTCCACCTTTTCCATTTATTCCCACTGCTTAGCCTCAATCCCACCTACTGCAGTTTCTGTTCATTTCCTCTTATTCTATTTTCAGTGGAAAGGGAGCATTTACTTACCACCCACCATAAGAACCCATCAGAGACTGTTATTAGGTATCATTGGGGATTCTATATTTACCTTTTAATAAATCCAGCCTTTTCTGCTCTGCTGTCTTGGGGCTGACTGAAGATGTAAAGGGAGGTCCCCTCTGTGAGCCTGACTGTGCTGAGCAGCTAGGGAAAGGCACACACAGCAGTGCTCCCTGTTTGGAAGAGAGCCAGCTAGAGAATAAGTGTCCAATTTAGTGTGAAAATCTCACACAGGTGGAACACATGCTGGGGAGGAGGTCTGGTTGGTAATGGCAGATCAGCGAGAGCTAGCAAAACACTGTCCAGTATTTAGTGACCTAGAATGCATGGTCCTTTTCTCTGTTTACTCTGTCCCCTTGGTGGCTGCTGATTGCCAGACATGGAGGGACCCAGTGTGTCTAGACCATTTCCCTAAGTTATCTCAGCTTAGAGAGCTTTGGAGAGGTGGCGTGGGTTCCTCCAATGTAATGTTTGAATCGGCTTTAGATTAAGCCTACAGTCATTCAAAAGCCCTGGTAGAAACGGCTTCCTGGACATAGATGACTACTCTTGGAGCCAAACTAAAGCTGGACTGAGCTTTGGGACTGGAGGCTGTGATTAGCTGGGTTCTTGGTTCTAAGCAATCAAACTGGAATTCTTATTTAAGTAGGAGGGAACACACTAAGGCATTTAGAGACCTGCTTCCAATTTTGAACCAAGAGAGAAACTAGGCTTGGGAAACAGAACCAGAGGGAGCCTCTTCATCTGGAACCAAGGCCAAATCAAAACTGAGAATTGATCTGGCATAGGCCCTTAATACACACCGCTCTCCAACACTGCTGGCTTGGATGTGGTCCTTATCAGTGTTGCCCCAGACACTGGGGTTGGCTGCTCCTGCTGCCTGTGGCAGAAAGGCTTTTCTTGTTCTGCCTCTTGCATTGCTGGTTCCCTAGTCACTGTCAGGTTAGGGTGATCTTATTGGCTCAACTTAGATCCCTTGCTTGACTAGGAAGGCAAATACCTGGTGTTTTCAGCCTTTGTTGTTGGAGGCGAGCCTTGTTTCCCACAACCATTACATGGGAAGAATTTGCTGAACATAGAAAAATACAGGCACATTGAATGACATGGTGGCTATCATACCTGGATTAGCTGGTTGTAACTGGCAGCCATTCTTTATCCATCCACTGTCTAGAGTTTGTTAGCCACTACACACTGAGCAGGGCCAATGTGCTTTTGAATCATTTTTTATTTTTTAAAATATTTTTTAGAAGATTTACTTATTTTTATTCTACATTTGTGCTTGATACCTGAAGAGACCAGAAGAGGGTGCTGGGTCCCCTGGAACTGGTGTTATAAACAGTTGTGAACTTTCATGTGGGTTCTGGGAACCGAACCTGGGTCCTCTACAAGAGTGGCCAGTGCTTTTAAAGGCCAAGCCAGCTCTTCATCTTTTATTTCCTATGGGCTCTAGGCTGCTCATGAGGCATAAAGGGGTCAGACATCATGTCACTTGTGGAAGGGCCCTGGAGCTCAAGCTGAGAAGACTGGAGGTGAAGATGACATTGTACATTCCTGGGAAGGTAGCTTTGACAGATCATTCCTTGGGAAACTGGAACTGCGCAGGCAATGAGGTGAAATGTTGCTCATTCCTGTTCTGTCAGTTCCTCCATATTGTGTGACTGACTTGGCCTTCTTCAGCTCCCAGGACTATAGAAATCTCCTTTTTGCAGAGCTAGCATGCCTTGCTACAGGATATCCCTGTGGGGATGCTGTGCCCCCACATTTCAGGATCTATACAGATGCTTTTTGTAAATGGTTTTCTCACTGTGCTCATCCTTCTAGACCTCAGCATGGACTGGAGAAGTGTTTGATGCCCGGGATCTGGACGTCCCTGGGTACTGATGACCCACACTTTCTGCCTCTTTCTGTAGCCACTAAGCACAGATGACACCTCGAGTTCTGCCTCCACTGCTTCTAACAGATCACGGAATAGGACTCGCTATCGGACCAAAGCCATGAGCTCTGAGGTGGATGAGAGTCTCTTTGGCGGTGTCAAGGTAACTAATTGTCACCAGGGAACTGCCACTTAGATGACAGTGGTCCAGACCAGTGTTGCTTAGGACAAAGCTTGCAGTGGTCACACAGCCAAGCTCTTATGGGTAGTTCTCAGACCAAAGAAACGGGAGTTCTGAGGTACTAGCTCTAGAGTTCTGATGTGTAGTGTGTTCTAGGTAAGCAGAGGCTCCTGGATTCCTGTACCCATTAAAGTCCCCATTTCTTCACAGAATAACAGTACAAAACAACACATGCTGTTTCCCTCCTTCAATGCCCTGCTGCTTGGCTAAAGCAATCACTTAGCTTTGGGAAATGAACAAGTCTCATCCAGGTTAAGAAGCTGACAATTCTTTTAGTATAGAAAAGGAGCGATTAGAGAGTTGTTTTAAAAAATTCTGGTACTCATGGTGATAGGTGAGAAGGAGGGAAAAAAAGAATGAGACTTGGAGAGTAGAGCAGGGGAAGTTTAGGAGAAAGCAGAGAGGAAGAAGCACATGGGCAAGTAGGGTGGGTTGGGGAGAGCAGAACTGGTCTGTCCCTGCCCCTCACTGGCCTCCTCCTGTGAATGGGAGAGAACTTTCTAGAGGGTTCACTTAGATCTCCCACTCCCCAGCACTTTTTCTATTGGTAAAAGAATCAAATGAATGCAATTTCACTTATAGACTTTTTTGTTGTTATTGTTGTTTTGCTGGAGGGGAGAGTGTTGGTTTTGGATCCACGTGGAATTTTCTAGACAAAGAGGTTAGGAAATAGGCAAGTGCCCCGGGAGTAGTCCTGCTGGCTAATAAAAGAGGCAGTCCTTTTCCATGCAGGCCCAGTTTCTTTGACCTTATGGGTAGATGAGAGCCCAGGAAGTTGGCGGTAGGGGGCAGAAGCGGTCCGTGGCATGCCTGTGCTGTGCCCGCCTGGAAGCACATATGAGCACCAGGCGGCAGCAGCACTCAGGACAGCGCAAAGCAGAACTCAAGACAAGGGAGGCCACCCCCTGGCCTTCAGACAGGTCCCAGGTACAGCACCTAGGACATCTAAATTCTCCTGGGTTTAGAAATTCTCTGAAATAAGTGATTATATTTTCTCGTTATCTATTTCACAGAAAAATATTGAAAACCATTATACATGTGATCTGTATTCATTTTGCTGAATTCTAACTCATTGACTTCTTTAACCAATTCTGGTTTATTTGAGACAGGATCTTGCTATGTCGCCTAGGCTGATTTGAACTTGCAATCCCCCTGCTTTCGCCTCCCAAGGGCTGGGATTACCCCACACTGGGCTCAACCACGTTGGATTTGTTGTTGTTGTTGTTTTGTTTTTGTTTTTTTGAGACAGGTTCTCCCTGTAGCCGATTTTTTTTTGTTGTTGTTGTTTTGTTTTTGTTTTTTTGAGACAGGTTCTCCCTGTAGCTCCAGTTGTCCTGAAACTTTCTATGTAGACTCGTCTGACCTCAATCTCACAGAGATCCACCTGTCTCTGCCTCCCAAGTGTTGGGATTAAAATGCATGTGCCACCATGCCTGTCTGCATTAGATTTTAAGGACAGGTTTCTGTCAGGCCACTTAGCTATGCCTAACTCATTCAATATAGCTGTTTTGAGGGCTTAAAATATACATTAATCATTAGACATGACTAAAAATTACTATCAGAATAGGGCAAATTAGTCTGTAACACATTGTATTGCTTCAAACTCAGTGTGGTCAGATGTGGTGGTGCACTCCTTCAATCCCAGCACTCAGGAGGCAGAGACAGGAGGATTGACTTCAGTTTGAGGCTAGTCTGGTCTACATAGGGAGTTCCAGGCTAGCTTGGTCTACATAGGGAGTTCCAGGCAAGCCTGATCTACATAGGGAGTTCTAGGCCAGTCAGGGTTATACAGTGAGACTCAGTCTAAAACACACACACACACACACACACACACACACACACACACACACGCACACAAACAACTCACTATGTGGTTCAGGAATTGCACAAGAAGATAAATGTTCATGGAGAGATAAGAACCTAGACACCAAAATTTACTTTTCATTCCTGATGATTTTAAAATGAAGACAGATGAGCACGATCACCCTCTCTTCCTTCTACCCCTTGCCACTGTCCCTAGCATCCCCTAGGAGGGATGCCTGCCTGAGAATAAAAGGCCTAGTTCTCAGAAGAGCTGACCTTACAGAACTCACTAGCCATGTTCTGATGAAGAGCACCAGTCTGCTTTCCCATCACCCTGGCTATTCGTGGTGTCCTGTAGTCTGTACCCGAGCCGAGCCGGTATTTCCTGCTTCCGGACTGGATGGAAACCCCAGGGAAGCTGCCCTTGAGGTTAGGCTGGATCAGTGGGAAGTGAGATGATCAGTTCAAAAGTTTTCCTCTCTGACCTCATAGCCATTGGCCCATGGCCAGAGCAACAGCCCCATCGTGCTGCTCCGTGATAAGCATGCCATCCGGAAAACTCTCAATGCTCTGGGTGTGAACCGCAAGCCAGAGACCATCCAGCTCATCACCCGGGACATGGTCCGAGAACTCATGTGAGTCCCCAGGGCACAGTTCTTGAGCTCCTGGCTCAGTCCATACTGCCTTCGGGGAATCTGTGCAGGGTGATGGGAGACCGTACTGGTTTCATCCGGTCAGCCTCACTCCTGCGGCTTTCCTATTCATCTCCTTTCTTTTTCCTCTTTCACTCTTGATTTTTGTTTTGTCTGTATAGCTTTTCTTAAATTAATGTTTTGGTTACCGTGCACAGAAATGGGTTTCACTGTGACATTTTCATGTATCTATATGGTCATACTTTGTCCTTATTTGATCTTTCCCCACTGCCTTCCCTGTCTTTCCCTCTCCTATTCTTGATGGCCCCTTTGCTCCCCCAAATAGTCCCCCTTCTGCTTTCATGACACGTATATTTTAATACCCTCTCTAGTTCCCCTTCCCCGACTTTGGACCTTTTCCTGCCCTCTCGGAACTCCCTATCTACTTCATGTCACACACACACACACACACACACACACACACACACACACACACACACACTAATCTGCATATGAAGGAAAGCATGCAGACACTATTTCTGCCTTTTGTTGCAGGGTTCCTCTTTCTCCATCCTGGCCTCTCTCTTTCCCCCCTTGTAGTTATCATTACATTGACCTTCATTCCCAAACTGCTCTCCCTCTCTTATGACTGTAAGCTCTAAAAGTGCCTGGTAGAGGGGTGCTGCTTAGTGGGTCCTTCTAAGTCCCTATTAATGCCCTTGGTGAAGGGAAGTGAACCGGATGAGTCACTTCCTTTAGACAGCATCAAGAATCTGAAGCAAAGGGAAACTGACCAGATGCCTAATTAGTCCCCTGGCTCCTTCCCAGACTCTGAGGCTATCAGAGGAATTCACAGGGGTTCCTCAGGTTCCTTTGGGGTTAGCTCAGTCTTGCTTCCTGACTGGAGCAGCACCATTGGTCCCTCCTACAGGGTGCAGACTGAGCTCAGCCAAGTGCAAGGAGTGAGTGTTGTGCTTGGTTTAGTGCTTCACTCTCTCTAACCCTGCCTCCCACTCTGGCTACACGGCTTAATGACCAAGTTCCCAGAAAACCAAGGCCATGGCTCATGGCTCAAACTGGAACCCAATGCAGGAGCTAGGCTTGACTACAGCCCTTGTTTAGCTGAGGCTGGTCAGCCCTAGCATCTAAAGGCCAGATGTGGGCAGTAGCTGTGTAGCCAGGTCTCGGCCTGAAGGAGGAATACTTCTTGAAGAGGTCTCTCTGCAGACTCACTGGGGTCCAGGGCTGGTCATGTTCTGACTTAGAGTCATTGTCTTAGATTCAGACCTCTTTGTCATGCCACACCTTAGGTTGTTTTGGGTCACGCTACTTGGTGCAGTATAAGAGTTTGACTAATATGTACATCTACTCACTCATTCTGTCTACCTCTTGGACAACCCCTCCACTAGTTATTAGGTGAGATTTCACTTCCTGTCTCAGACTGCGTCTTATTGCCATGCACCTGTTAAACTGCCTCACCCAGAAGCAGCTTTATTCCCATCCCTCAACTACTCCCTCCCCCATCTTTAATGTATGTCATTTGTTTGTAATCATTATAATTAGCTATAGGTTTGTTGAATGCGTTGGGCAGCTACAAGGAGAGGTCTATAGACATGTCTCCAGCAGTTGTCGATCAGAGATTTTAATTAATATTTAGGGTTCAAAGCTTCTGTCTAGGCTGGATGGACAGGGATGTTTAGATTTCTCACCAGCATCCATTTCAACCTGGTCTGGCGTCCCCTTGTCCTGTTTATGCATCAGGAATAATCTATTTTTAAAGTTCGATTCAGCAGCTTTGTTGAGTGCTCACTTGATGCCAAGTATTGGGTCAGCTATTAGGCTACCAATGTGGTTCATCCTGAAGGAGCTTGAAGGGAAACAGGACTTGTATCATTAGTCCTGATGCAAGGTAGTAAAATGGAGCCAGAGTGTGGTTGGGGCTCAGAGGAGGATGTGACCTCTGGGGCTCCAGAGCAGGGTGGACATACACAAGGAAGGGTCTTAGACAGTTACACAGAGAAGGCAGCATGAGAGCTAGACTTAGAGAGAAAGGTTTTGAGATGTTTCTTTTAATCTGCAGCACCATTTGTTTTTCACCTGGAACCTTTTACTCTAGTGGCTCATGAAGTTGCAGCTTCTTCTGCCTTGGCATAGTATGGGAAGAAGAGAGCAAGGAGCTTGGAGCCTGCTCTGCTTCTTAACTCTGATCATTCCTGTGTCAGTATTCCCACAGATGATCCTTCTGGGGAATCCCTGATCATCAGCCCTGAGGAGTTTGAACGGATCAAGTGGGCATCCCAGGTTCTGACCAAAGAAGAACTGGAGGCCAGGGAGCAGGCTTTCAAGAAGGAGAAGGAAGCCATCATGGTAGCTCACTTTCCTAACCTTGTATTGGGTAGACGGGTAGCAGAATAGCAGCATGTAGTGAGGAAGCCACTTTCTCACACCAATGGAGATGAACTCCAGTTAGGGCATCCTGGAACAAGGCATGTATGTATCTTTAATGAAGAAATGTTGGAGGATGAAGACCAGAGGGAAATCCCTGAGATTTGGGAGGGGTACTTAGGTCACTGGGAGGAATGAGAACAAAGCCAGCCTGTGAAACCTCTCTGTTCTGATGTCATGGTAGGCTGAGGAGAAATCTTCCTGGGTTACCTCTGCTAGGCAAGCTAGTTCATGGGGCATAACCTCCACGAATCCAGGCTGGTCTCCCTTAGGACGCAGTGACAACACGCAAGAAGATCATGAAGCAGAAGGAAATGGTGTGGAATAACAAGAAGCTGAGTGACCTGGAGGAGGTGGCCAAGGAGCGGGCCCAGAACCTCCTGCAGAGAGCCAACAAGCTTCGGATGGAGCAGGAGGAGGAGCTCAAGGACTTCAGCAAGGTGAGCCTCTGGTCTCTTCCTTCCCTCTGAGGACCCACTGCCACTCCCTCTTTGCTCTTATACACGGATAAAGTGAGGGACTGGTGGGGGTGGGGCTTGCATGGGGAGGAGGAGAGGCGTACCTGCTGGTAGTTGCTGTGATCTGCTTGTCTTATGACCTAGAGTAAGTCACTTGCCCTCCCTGAGCCTCATTTCTTTCATTCATAAAATAAGGATGGTAACACTACTTAGCAGAATTATTGGCAGCGTTAAATAGGCTAAGATATGGGAGAGCCTTTGTGAACTGTGACTGATAAATATGCAGATCTTGCTTTTATTTTTATCTTGCAAGTTCAAGTGTGGCCACAGATGGTGGTGGAGGCAATAGGATTCATTTTGAAGTGCCCAGAGTGCTTCCTTTAGCTGGGAAGATAAAGACCAGGGGCTTATTTGAAATTCAATTTTGTGATTCATTTGCATGTGGCTCACTTCTTGACCAAATGAAAAATGCTGACTCCCCAATCCCTTCGCTGATTTCCATCTCCCAGGTAAATCTTTTCTATTTATATCTCCTTTTATTTTCTAGGACTGTTACTTCCTGGTTCTTAATGATGGAGTCATGGTTTTCCATGTATTTTCTGTCATATTGGGGTCTTCCAGTGGTGGCTTGACCTCTGCTAGAACATTTTAGCGTCCCTGTACTTAACTTGGTGTTCCTAATTGGGACTGCAGAACTCTAAAGTTGTACGGAAATTCCGTGTGCATTTATGTAGGTAAATATGATAGAGGGGAGGGCTCATGATTTACATCATATTCCCAACACCTCCCAAACACTACAATACGGTGAGCAATGCTCTTCTGGGTCTCTTCTTGCACAAACTCTAGTTCTTATAACAAACCCAGTAAATGTTTGAGCTACACTGTGTTAAGGGGCAAACATCAACTGTTCTTGTTTCTTTGGACTTGTGAGCTATGATGCTTAGCTCCAGCACATTCAGGGCCTTATTCTTCTCCCTTTTCTTCTCCCTCATGCCCATAATGCCTCCCTCCCAATCCTTATTCCCAGGCCTAGTACCACATTTTTTCTTTCCATTCCCTAGATCATTCTGAATGCCAAGTGCCACGCCATCCGGGATGCTCAGATCCTGGAGAAGCAGCAGATAAAAAAAGAATTGGATGCAGAGGATAAGCGGTTGGATCTGATGATGGAAGTGGAGCGGCAGAAATCCATTCAAAGGCAGGAGGAGCGGGAAATGAAGAGGCGGGAGGAAAGAATACGGTAGGTAAAGATGTGGTTTTGGTATTTCCCTTTCTAAGTAGTTTCTGTGTGTCCTCAGGTCCATGTAGCAAAGAGGGAAGGGATGAGACATGGTCGCCGGGACTATTCGCTGTCTCTCGTCCCTTATGGAGCAATACGGAGGATCATACCACTTTTAAAGCTTGTTTCCCAGATCCTCACAGGTGCTTCACAATTTGCCTCAATTCAGTCTCATTTCTCAGTGCTTCCTGCCATCCACTCTGCACTTCTTCAACATGCACAAAATCTGCAGACACAGGCCCAGCAAAGGAAAACTCTGCCTCATTAGGCAGCTCTAATGATTTGACCGGGTCCTTACATTGAGCCCAAACCTGCTTCCAGGCAACACCTGCTTATTTCATCTGTCCTATGAAGTATTCACATGTTCCATCCAGATATGAATTTCACATTCCTTCCTCTTGATTTGTATCTTCCCCTGTCTTCTCCCATTCTTCCAGCCTTTACTCCTGCCATAGGTCCCGGATGCTTCCAGGCTTACTGACATGCTTGTAATATCCTAGGATCATTGGCAGGCAGTACTGATTGTAGATTCAGTCTCCCTGAATTTACTGTCGAAAAGAGGAGTGCAGGGCTCAGTCCTGTCTGTCATCAGCTGAGAGTCCTCTGTGTAAGCTTGTGTAAGAAAGACAGTTGGCAGACTAGGCACGGGAGTTGGGTGGGAAGACAATGTAAACTGAGTGACAGGAGAGGCACTAAAGGAATTAGAGATCCTGGACTTTAAAAATCTATGAAGCCGGCAGAGGAAGCTATCTTCCCACACGATGAGAAGAACTGGCAGGTAGATGGATTTCAGAAGCTTGTTAAATACTAGAAGGGAGAAGGTGGATTACGATGTGGGGTAACTCCTGGGCAGACATATGAAGAAGGGGACTTTTAGGAAAGGGATACCTCAAACCTAGAACATAGCAACATGAGGGACTGTCTTCCAGGACACTCTAGGGAAGAGCTTTGGTCTGAGCCCAGGAAGCACATGCATTGTCAAAGGGACACTTGTCAAATGGTGCCTGAGAAACCTCCTATCTTGAGGCTGTTTCAGTGAAGCTGGGAGCAGATACTTGGACTCTTGATTTCTGAACCATTGTGGTCCTATTTTCTCCCAGGGGAAAAAGGCACATTGTGGAACAGATTCAAAAGAATGAAGAGGAGCGATCGCTGCTTGCAGAGCTTCGTGAGCAGGAGAAGGAGCAGATGTTGGCATATCTGGAGCGACTCCAGGAGGAGGATCTACTGGTAACAGGGCCATCAGGCCATGCCGAGTTTCACCAGCAACAGCAGCAAAACCCTTCAATATTTGAGGGTTCAGGGTGTGGAGTGATTTTTTTTTTTTTTTTGACAGGCACATGATCATTTCACAACATCACCACCATCAGCTTTTTAATTGCTTTCTGAGACATTTATTTGGCCATGGCATCATGCTGGGGCTGAGCTGTGATTTGGATAGATATTGTCCCTGCCTCCTAGGGATCAGGGGTTTGAGACTGGCCTATCAATGTCAACACACACCTAAAGGAAATGTATGCTTGTTTGCTCTGTACAAGTAAACACAGGGATAATTTACAGTGTCTCCTCAATCACTTGGGGGATATTCTGCACTCGATAGATGAACACGGGGCCTTAGTTTCAGGCTCCCTGCTGTCACCTCATTCAAAGTACACAGCATCCCATCATCATTAATTGTGTTGTGAAGCCAAACCTTTTATTCTTACTAGCTTAAATAAAATTACTAGGCATCTCTACTGAAAAAAACAAAAGAAAACAAACAAAAAAACCTGATGACATACCTTCTTGAACTTTATAAAGCTGAAAAAATTGTCTTTTATTTGCCTTATCTGGTCTGTTACAATCACAAAACCCTGTAGCACAGCAGGGATACAGCACGCATTTAATTTTTTTTTTCTTTTTCCACGGGTGTGTGTGTGTGTGTGTGTGGGTGTGTGTGTAATGTGCATGTGCGTGGGCACACGTGTGGGTGTGTACATGTGGAAGCCCAAAGTTGATGTTAGGAATCGTCCTCAGTTGCTCTTCCACCTTATTCATTGAGGCAGGGCCTTTTAATCAAACCCAGAGCTCACTGATCCAGGCAGAGTGCTCAAGGGATGCCCTGTCTCCACCTTCCCAGGCTGGAATTACAGGTGTACTGCCACGCCCACCCGGCAGTCCTGAGGCTTCTGTGATAGGCACTCTAGTTAATCCTCAGGGTCCTCATGCTTGCGTGGCAAGTGCTTTACCCACTGAACCATCTCCCTATCCCAACAGCAGGCGTTTGAGTATCCATTTTTTATAGCCTTTGTTTTTTTTTTTAATTTTGAAAATTTTACACTCAGACAAAAGTTGAATTGTAGCACGCTCTTTACTTTGATTTAATGACGATTAACTATTTGCCTCCATATATATATATATATATTTGTTTATTTTGTTTAAACTATTTGTGGTTGTAGACATTTTGATGCTTTGTCAGTAAATGCTCCAGCTTACATCTCTGAAGAACAAGAACCCACTTACATGCTGACAATACCATTATTATGTCCTCTATCAAATCTTTTCCTCCAATGATTCTATAATATCATCTAATGTTAATCGTTATTCAAATTTCCTCCATTGTTAACAAAAAAAGTTCTTTCAAGTATTTTCTCCTTTTTCCAAATCCACCTCTAATCAAGGCTTTTACATTGGATTTGGTTAAGTCTGTCGTCTGTTTTGATCTAGAAATGCTCCCTCATTCGTTGGCTCATTCATTTTTTAAGTATATTTCTACTTTAATGGATACATAGCAGTTGTGCATATTTGTGGGCCACAGTGTGACAATTCTATGTGTATAAGATGTATAATGCTGAGATCAGGGTAACTGGTATACCATCT